GAGCGATATAGTGTGTTTTCGATTGAATAGAACGGCCTCGCGGTTTATAATACTCGCGGTTTATAATCCTCGTGGTTTATGGTGCCTCGTAAAACTTAGCATAAATTTCTCATTCGTCAACGACCGATGGGCGCGCGTTATCTCCCGTGCTCCACAAACGCGGCGTGTGCGCGGACTCTCTCTCCCATGAGAGAGAGAGAGAGAGAGAGAGAGAGAGGGAGAGAGGAAGCAAGAAATTTCGAACGTATACGAAGCGAGATTCATTCGGCGAGAGAGACCCGCAGCGAGATTAGTTTTGAATTAAAGCCAACTTGAAATTAATAGTCCGTTTCGTCGGCAAGACAATCCCAAGGGCATTTCATAAACTATTGCCATATGCTTGACAGACGCACACGGATTATTACTCTTCAGAATGAATTTCCCGCGCTTATGTATGGATTGCGCAAACTTGCGGAGAATTTCGGAGTCGCAGTTTATACGTTTGGACGCGAAGAAGAAAGATTCCGCGCGCCGCACGCGCGCGCGCGCACGCACACGAGGACGCGCGTACACTCGGCCGGAAAGTTTTCTCCCGAAAATCTGTTCGAAAAAAAATGTTACATCCGCACAAATTGCACGTTTCGAGTAATTTTTCAGTCCGCACCGAAAAAATTGTATTCTTGTTTTGAGGATATTCCGCTTACTTTAAGTATATTTTATTCTAAAATAGGCGCCAAGAAGAGTTTCTTATTTTAAGAGGAAAATTCTCTAAATAATAATATTGATAAGAATATATACTGATTAGAATATAAAAAGCCTCTATAGAAAAACATATATATATCTCACTATCGAAAAAGACTATATTCTTATAATTTCGGAAGAATATCATCTAAAATCTTTAAGAAGATTTTTTAAGTATAAAATCTTCTACTTACGAGAATAGAATTTTTTCGGTGCAGATAAACGTGGCCAGATTGTTTTCATTAAATTTCAACCGAACGTAATATCGGAAAGACCAAATCTCGCGCGCGCGAGTAGAAATTTTATTTTGACGTCGTGACATCTGCCAACGTTGTAAAATTGCGAGTTTTAAATACGCGAGCTTTCGCGCGCTACAAAAGTAAAATATAAATCTTTGAGACATCGAAGCGATCATTTCGCGCGCTTGAAACGAAAGCGAAATCTCGCGCGGACGAGTTTTGCGAAATTATCTAAATAAATTTTTACCATTCCCCGATTCGGATTTCCGATTCGAGATTAACCGCGTATAAAATAGCGCGTATAAAAAGTTATGATGAAACATCAAAGTCTCGAAATATATTTTCGTTCGATTACATTAATAAAATATAAAACGGCCGTCTGCAATGAAGGTGGGCGGTGTAAGATGAGAAGTGGGGATTTTCTTGAAAATATTTCATATTCGCTTCCAGGGAGTAACAAAGTGAGCAATTCCCATTTCGCACTGCCTTACTGTCAGCCTATAATGAAAGACGCGTGTTGAAAGACGCAAAATAATTATTTGTATAAACAAAAATGAAATAACTCCAAGAACTTTACTTCTTACTCTACACTGCCCATCTCCATTGTAGACGGTCCTTAAAGGAGTCGTATCACCGAAAAAATTATATTCTCGTATAAGTAGAAGATTTTATACTTAAAAAAATCTTCTTAAAGATTTTAGATGATATTCTTCTGAAATTAAGAATATATTCTTTATTTAAGAATATATTCTTTATTTAAGAATATAGTCTTTTTCGATAGTGAGATATATATATATGTTTTTCTATAGAGGCTTTTTATATTCTAATCAGTACATATTCTTATCAATATTACTATTTAGAGGATTTTCCTCTTAAAATAAGAAACTCATCTTGGCGCCTATTTTAGTATAAAATATACTTAAAATAAGTGGGATATCCTCAAAACAAGAATACAATTTTTTCGGTATATTCAACGCTCGTCATTTTGGATTCAACGCGCTTCGTGTGCGTATCTCTCGATAGTTTCAAAGTTGATAAAAAAAAAAGTCGGATGAATAATGATAAAAATTTTAACACTCGGTGTAGTACGCCTTTTCATGTTTCATTCATCGCAGCGACGGAAAATCGCGAAATTTAGACAAGATAGAGAGGCGCACATCGTCGAGGCGTGGGATTCTTTTTTGCAAGTTAGCATTGCGCGAAGTAGTTTTAAACTGAGTTATCAAAGGCCGGACGCGCGGAAACACAGCTGGGCGGCGTCGCGACACCGCTTTTTCACAGACGGCTGTTTTGATGTTAATGCATTCGAAACCGCGAGATCCCGCCTCACGGCCGCAAATCGCGTGAGCAACATACATATACACGTTGTTGTCCGCACACGTGAGAACATAAATTCGTGCGTGAAGGTCAAAGGTTAAAAGGAATCCTCGCGGATATAAAGGGCAATTTGGAATTTGGGCTTTGTTTCGCGTAACCGCGCGGTGAATTTCGCGATTCCAAATGCGCGGACTCCAATTAAACGCTCGTTTCGACGAAAGAAAAAAAAAACCTTGGATCAAAAACACGCCGGGGATGTTAAAAGCGATGTTAATTGTATTCTAGACTGGAATAACACCGCGAAAGTGCGTGCGTGTGTGTGTGTGTGTGTATGTGGTGTTGTTGTGGCTTAAATGTCATGTCAATTCGGCGCCAAGATTGCCATCAGGCAACGAGCGAAAATAATTCCGTCACGTTGCCCTCATCGACCTTCGGCAGTGATTTTCTATTGATTTTGTTCATGCGAGAGCGCTATATGATCACGTTGCATTTTACACACCGAAAAAATTGTATTCTTGTTTTGAGAATATCCCACTTACTTTAAGTATATTTTATACTAAAATAGGCGCCAACAAGAGTTTCTTATTTTAAGAGGAAAATCCTCTAATTAGTAATATTGATAAGAATATATACTGATTAGAATATAAAAAGCCTCTATATAGAAAAACATATATATCTCACTATCGAAAAAGACTATATTCTTAAATTAAGAATATATTCTTAAATAAAGAATATATTCTCTTATATATATATATAATTTCTTAAATAAAGAATATATTCTTAATTTCAGAAGAATATCATCTAAAATCTTTAAGAAGATTTTTTAAGTATAAAATCTTCTACTTACGAGAATATCATTTTTTCGGTGCATCAATTGGAAAAATACTAATACTAAACGGAGTGGGCGCGTCAATTCGTCATTTTTCTTCGTATTATTAATTTCGAAATTGTGTGTTTTTTTTTTTTGATTTGAGGATTAAATTACAAAACTTTCTCGGAAAAAGTTGTGACGGATCATAATTCTCTCACGTGGAGGAAAAAGCTTAATTAGAAGGATCGCGGAAATGTGTGTGACAGCGACCGACTGCCGCAAGAAGATCATCAGGAAACGCTATCCCCGCTATCTATGTTAATTAATTCCAAGTCAAGATCCTCCGACTTAATTAGTAATTTGCTAAATTAATTTTTCTTAATGAAAATGTCATTCTAATTGCCGATGTTGATTTCTGATTGTTAATGTTTTGGTTTTGTGAATTTTGCAATTTCGACTTGGGAAATCGAAAAAGCAACTTAACTGATTAAGTTTATCACCCGACGTCGGTTCAAACATTGACACAAACTACTTGGAAAGTAATTTATCGGGCGAACTTTGACGTGCGCTATCGCAACGGAGTTAATAGTAATGATATCAAAATGAAACGCTCTAGTCAGAGCATTATTAGATTCCATTTGAGTAATATCGATAATAATAATAATAACAATAATAATTTATCTGCCAACAGTTTTCTTGTTGCAAGAATTTTACGAGAAAATATCTTTGTTGCAATTTTTTTTTTTTTTTTTTTCTAACAAAATCTCGAGAGCGAGTTTGAATTTTTCGCGCACACGAATGTGCATAAAAATTCGCGCGCACATCTTTTGATTTTTATACAAAGACATGTGTGTTTACGCAAAGTGTTCGTTCAATCGTTACATCTGTGATTTCTCTTTGAAATTGCTGACTTTGTTATTTTACCATTCCGTGTGTGTGTGCGAAAAAACTGTAAATATCTCTGGAAGTAACATTCCAGTAAATTCGGACATTATCCTCGGAATAATACGCGCGAGATTTTGCGCAACACACATACACACACACACACACGCGCGCGCGCGAGATTGTGTATTGCTCGCGCGACCAACGCGTTTTTAGCGACACGTGTTTTCCCCCCCACGCTTTTTCCGCACGAAATATCGATCGCGTATATCGATATAGAATAGTAAGCGAACAGGTCAAAATTTGACAAGTAATACGGATAAACGAACGAACGAACGAACGAAAGTGCTGATCGAAAAGCAGCGGAAAGTCTCTCCGCCGACGAGGGAAAACGCCCGCGAACATAGCGCGCGTTCGACTAGAAATCCGATATCGCCGATCTCCGCTCGCGTAACTTTTCTAATCACAAAGTAGGTATATCCAATAAATCCAATTGTTGCACACACGAAGCGCGTTTGTTGAATTTATTCTCCGTACGGTAATATGTATTATTTTTATCCGCGTCAATTCGGAAGATACTACATCTTCGTCTATCCATTTCTCCGACAAAACCATGTTGATTGCAACATCGAGAGTTCACGATTTTATGTGAATCATCGTAACGAAAGAGCGAAGGATAATCGCGCGGAATATACTCTCGCGGAAATACGTATATTCGCTTTTTACGAGATTTCACGTAAAGTAAAAACGAAACAGCTGATCGAAGCGCGAGTAAATCGTGTGCACTTCGGGCGAGCGATAGATCGGATGGAAAGACGGAACGAACGTGGCGGATTTGTAACCGGCGACGTAAATCCGAACGCGTGTGTGACAGCTGAGAAACGTTCGTTTTTTGGAAGAGGAAGAAATGAGCGATAAAACGCGATTGATGGACGGCGGTGGTCGTCCGAAAGATCATCGCGGTTCGCCGAAAAAAAAAAAAAGATTTATGCGAGAAAAACAAAAAACACACAAACGTACAATGTATTTACCATTTCTGCGCCATCCCGACTCCGACGTTCCAGGTGCGTTCGCTCAAATCGTCCTCGTTGTTCTGCTCCTGGTCCGACGCTCCTTGGCGAATCGCGGAAGGAGCCGCGGGATAAGAAATGGACCGGGATGACAGTTGAATTGCGGCTACGCCGATCCGATCAGCTCGGAAAGAAACGCCGATCGGCGCGCCCGACGACGCGTGAATATTCGCACGTTCCTCCCGGGGAGGGGGAGGAAATTGCTGGTTTTTTCGCGCGAATCCGTCACAAAAAATATATGCGCATACAAGCACAGAAGAAATACAAAATCTCTAACGTAAAGAGATACGCACACGCGTGAGGCGCGGAAGCGACTGGCTTGGCTCGCCCGCCGCGATCTCCCACCCCTGCGTCAGCGCCACCTGCTCCGCACGGATGCTGCCCCTGCAGCGGTCCACCCGCGCAAAAATCACCCGCATTGTCACTCTTCGTTTACATTACGTGCCCCGTGACGAATAGAGAACTCGGGGGCCGAGGTGGTGTATATGTTGCGCGTGGGATCTCGCGCATCGGAGCACGGAAATCGCGCCTACAAAGCGCGCTAATGAAAGTTAAATTAATGTTATTGCATTTCTCGCAAGCGTATTGTTCTAGACCTATACGTAATGCACGCGCGTGTAATGTAGAAATATAAAAGTAAAAGAGAGAGAGAAAGAGAGAGAGAGAGAGAGAGAGAGAGAGAGAGAGAGAGAGAGAGATAAAAGGAAAAAAAATGAAACAAACAACGTTTCGAAACACATAAATCTTTCACAAAAGATATCTACTTGATATTCTCAAAGAAAGAGAATAATTTTTACAAAAATTTCTTATATATTAATATAATTCGGTCTGTTTACGCGATCATTATTCAGAACAACTGATTGTATTTTGCCTCGCTATAAACTACCATAGGCGTTTCAACTTACTCTCTCTTTGTGCTCTTACACCGCTTATTAAAGAATTTCTCCTCTTTGTGTTTGCGTTAATATCCTTTGTCAGCGACTCGTTTCTCTCGAGCTTGTCATCAGAGCAACGAAAGTAAGCGTACACGTTGTGTGTCGTAACAGCGGGAGAGGAAAACTACTACACACTGCTTAAATATTTCAAAAGGCGCGTTAACGCTTAACACACACTCCTGAAACTGTTTATTAAACACGTGTATTTTTCTCATTTAAAATCTTTGTCGCTACATCACACGGTTTTTCTCTCCGTCTAAATGTCTGTAAATAATAAACAAATTGGTAACTAATTGTGTAACTAATATATAAAAAAAATAAAACCAAAACGACCAGTAAAAACAAACTGCGTACGCGTGTCGTAGCCTTCCATGTTTTAATTGCGTTATATTTGATTTTTTTTTCAGTTATTTTTTTGCATAATCCCGAGTCGAAATTTAGCGTCTACATTGAACCTCAATTCCTCTTTTTTATGTAGGAGTAAGAGAGAAAGTAGATCCTACTTTGGCGCTGCTATATATCCGAAATTTCCTTTTTTCCTGCTAAAATTTTAAAGTAGGGTTCAATTCTCAGCTTAGATTGCACATTGCAGGTTCTGATAGGATCAAAATAGATTCTGATAGGCTCAAAATAGGAGTAAGAGAAAAAATAGATGCTACTTTGACGCTGCTATAGTCCGAAATTTCCTTTTTTCCTGTAAAGTAGGGTTTAAATTTCGACTCGGGATAACGCAAATAATAATCCAGCGACGTTATGCAATGACAATGTTTTGCGAGACACATGATTGAGCGCAAACGGCAAACCGGCCCGATGCACAAACCCAGAAGAGAAGAAGAATACCAAATTCATGCCGATTCCACACCGGGTGAAAATATAGTACGTGCGACGAATCGCAAATGACGCTGCGGAGTGCGACAATTTACCATGCCGAATGCGTCCCGTAAAATCTATCTATATATATATGTGTGTGTGTATACGCGCACAGACCGCGATGTATGCATCTATTGTTCGCATACATGTCGCACTTGTAATAATTGGAGTACATGTTGCGATCGCTGCTACAATGGTAACCGTAAATTGCCACCTACCGATGTCACTCGGTCAATAGATCAGCGCATCTGCGATATCCCAATTTCCAAATCGGTCAATCGAGCAATTAGCGACGTTAGATTCGCTTAAAATGAAATGTATTAAGCAACTTATTATTTCACGCAGTCGCAATAAATTGTTGCGAGTCAATCACGTTTGTGTAAAATTAAACAGGGTTAAAGAGAGAAAGAGATAAATATTTACATCTCGATATATATATATACATATATATATATATATATATATACATAAATTTCAGAGATGTGAGAAAGAAATATATATTTTACATATAAATGTAAAACAATAAAACAACCAAAATAAACAAGTAAAATATTAGAAAATACGCGCGATTTACACTTCCATTTTTTTTGGAGGAAATCGCGAGTGTTTTTGTTTATTTTTTGGTTGTTTTATTGTTTTACATTTATATGTAAAATATATATCTCTTTTTCACATCTCTGAAATTTATGTTATCCGTCAGCCGAGCGTATTACATTCGCATATAAGAGAGAGGAACGTTATAATAATAAATCTTTATGCCACAGAGATTTCTTACATAAATATATATATATATATATATATATATATATATATATATATATATATATATATATATATATATATATATATGTATTATCTTCTTATTCTCTCTTCGCACAAATACACGGATAAAATTATATTCGAATTTGTCAAAAGCTTAGACAGCCGTAATAATCTCGCAGTGTAATAAATCGAATATGCCGGTATACATAGACACAGGGATAATGATGATAATTCCGCGACGTCACGAATGAGGGATTGGACGTGGGACGACGCGCTAAACTCTCTCTCTCTCTCTCTCTCTCTCTCTCTCTCGAACGCTATGTCAGGTCTGGTCCAAGATGTAGCTGAACTTGCATTTCTCAAATACGTAAGCGCTTAGGAAACAGTCATATCGAATTTTGGATTACGGAGAACTTTAGCGTCTGATATCTGGGACGCCAGAGGGACCGTGTAATGAGCTGAGGTATTATTCGCTTTTCGTGGAATTTGTGACGCTTTGATGAAAATAACACACGCGAATTTCGGATTATTTTGTGTTGTTATTCGACGACAAAAGAAGATTCGTTTTCTTCTCGTTACAACATTCATTCTTTCGCGGATTTTATATATATATAATAAAAGTTTTCTTTTATATATGTATAATAAACATTTTCCTTCCGTGTCAATTTTTTATTTCGTCAAAGTTTTGTTCCGATAAATAAATCTTTTTTTTTCAGATTTTCAAATTATCCGTGTTTATTTTCACGCTTTTATTTCGAGAGATTGTTCCACAAATTTACACGTATCGCTGATATTTACTCCCACGCTCAGCGAACGTTTATTCTTTTTGCTTTTCGATTATTTACGTGCAAAAATGTAATGCAGCGAGAGCTTAATACCGTCCGATAACGTTACGAAGCGATTTCGGTATACATCGCCATATAATCATGTTAATTAATCCGCACTGGAGTACGGAGATTTACCGCAATTATCGCTTCTATCTGCTTTAACATTAATCTTCGTACTTACTCCATTCTCGTGTACAAACTATGTATTGTTGCGCACATGTTTGGACATTTGGCAATTGAATTGATAGAGAAGCGCGTTCGATACCGTGACAAAAGGCAGCTGAATTATACGCAATTAGAAACAAGCGTGGAAACCACAGCGAACGGAGATGAAGCTCTTATTTTGTTCACCGAAAAAATTCTATTCTCGTAAGTAGAAGATTTTATACTTAAAAAATCTTCTTAAAGATTTTAGATGATATTCTTCTGAAATTAAGAATATAATTCTTTATTTAAGAAAATATTCTTAAAAATTAAGAAAATATTAAGAATATATTCTTTATGTAAGAAAATAATAGATTATATATATATATATATATATAAGAATATATTCTTTATTTAAGAAAATAGTCTTTTTCGATAGTGAGATATATATGTTTTTCTATAGGGGCTTTTTATATTCTAATCAATATATATTCTTATCAATATTACTATTTAGAAGATTTTCCTCTTAAAATAAGAAACTCTTCTTGGCGCCTATTTTAGTATAAAATATACCTAAAGTAAGCGGGATATCCTCAAAACAAGAATACAATTTTTTCGGTGTTTTTGTCGATCACTTGTTTATTTTCTCGCGTCGATGTGAAGGAAAGGAGAAAAAATCGACGAATTAAAAAAATCAAATCAAATAAAACAAAAATCAACGAGAAATATAATGTTTTTTTTTTTTCGCACTTTATTGACCTAAACCTAGAGTATCTTTTACATCCGAATCGGACTTATATAGAAATCACTCTTCAATTACTTTGTTCTTATTCTAATTCTGACTAAACGTATTGTTAATCGTGTATAACGCACTATATTGAGTCGCGCGGTGTCTTCAGAGAGGAAATGTACAAAGTTACGCACGAAAATGCGACGACAAACAATACGAGAATAAAAAAGTCCATTTTTTGACTTAATATATTGGTAGAAAATACATGAAGTAACGCTTTTTTTTTTTTTTTTTTCATACGATACGATGTGATCGCGTTTACTTTCATGCGATACGTAGCCACACGTATCAAATTTGCACAGTCTTTGTCAGAACGTTTGAACTCTGAAAATCTAAAAGTGACGGGACACACACATTATTTGATTATATGATCATGTACACTGGAGACAATGTCAATACAATCGAGAACAACAGTACAATACACCAGATAGCTTGAAATTAGTACAGCGATCTTCATTGAGAGAGTTTAACGATAAATATACACTTGTTTTTTCTAATTGATGGCGACTTAAATTAAATATGTCTCAACGAATCGTATAATTGTAAAATCTCAACGCTCTCTTAAATCTTGCGATTGTTAGTAGGCCTCTATTTAGATTGATTTTTTCTCAATTATTATAGAAAAAGCAACTTTGTGTGATGATTAAAAACGGCGAGTCAATGAGAATCAACGTCCATAAAATCGTTGCATTATCTTTTCTTCTACGGTGTATTCATTAGTTTTTGTTTTTACACATTAGTATCTCTTACGCTTAGACGATAAAATTAAAACAGAACGATATTGATCACAAATTGTTAGTAACATCAATTCACGATTAAATCAACAGATACATACTGAGACAACGCGGAGAAGCAGCGCACTTGTAAATGACTGTTACTGGTTTTTTTTCTTTTCTTTTTTTTTTTATCTCCGCACACACCATAAAACACACTCGCGAAAAAACACCACGGTGCAAAAATGCATGTCGGACGTTCCGTCGTACTTATCTCTAACGCGGGAACCAGTCGATGGAAGTTTGCATGCGATATTACGTATATATTTTTCTCATAATTTATCCAAAATAAAATACTTTCGACGCGCAATGGATGAAAGAGCGGTGTGCGTTTTATCATCATTCGTACAAATTGATCGATATAATTTGATCGACGCAGCATAGCTTACAATCCAAAGTACCGAAACAATCTTTTGACGAAGACACATCTATACTTACATATCATCATCATCATCATCATCATCAGTACATTATGCTTTAAAATCTGGGCGACCGAAAGTAAAAGAATCAAATTTTGCAATATAAACCGTAATCTCAGATAATCACAATTTTGTACTTATACAATAAACAATGTAACATTTATATAACGTTTATATGCGCGCAATTCAAACGCAATATAGATATACTTCCGAGAGAGTTCCGATATACTATATGTACAAAATGCACTTAATTCATAGGCACTTACAAAAGAAGCATATGTGATAGACTATTAATTGTTCGTGTCTGTTCAATTGGCACTCCAATCGAATCGTTGGACTGCCAACTTAACAAACAAAGATTAATTACCTTACATCACGCGCATACATACTTTTTATATTTAAAAAAATCTATTGTAATAAGATAATATATGTTTCTCTCTCTCTCTCTCTCTCTCTCTCTCTCTCTCTCTCTCTCTCTCTCTCTCTCTCTCTCTCTCTCTCGATTAATCTATTGAAAATAAATGTATTTTTTTTAACACAAGGACGTGCAATGTGTGTGAATGTGTATGTTGACCTTATTGCAGTTGTAGACTGAAGGTTTACTAAAGCTAAATTGACGAGAATGAGATTATTTATGAATATAGTAAAAAAAAATATGTTTGAGAGTTCATGTAAATTGTATATAACAGTTTCATTTATCTAATTTCTTAACTTCTCACTTTTAACAAAGTGAATTTTCTATCTATATATATATATACTTGTCATATCTCTTGCACGATGTTTTTGTTATGCCGTTTGTATTAGTCGGTTCTTGTGTTATTTAAGACTTCTGAGTACTCACATTCCAGGATCGAATTATAATATTAAGAAACGAGAGACTATATGAATCTTTCTGTCTCGCACAACTTATATCAAAATAACTACAAAGGTTTTTTGAATGAGAGTACACAGAAAAGTTGAACTGTTTAAAATTGCCAATCTTAAAACATCTTTTCCGGCACATTCGTATGTATTTTAATTTTCTTTTAAATAAGAAACACAGTTACGCTTGTGTGAAGAATGAGACATTGAAATTCTCATTATTAGATATCCAATGACGAGAGTTATTCTTTCTTACATAAATAGTCTGATAAAAATGGCTGAAAATAGGTGAACTGGCTTGATTTTATGGGCAAACGTTGTTTTAATGCTAAATTATCGGTTTTTGCATATCATTTAGATGTTTTCTTAAATATGTCATAAAATCTATCAAACACGTCGATATTGATCTATCTACAACTTTTTGTGGTATCCAACCTTTTAACTTTGTATTTAAAATCCATGTGAAGCGACATTTGCTAGCTTCATTGGACAACTCTTCCGCTATAAAACAACTCACACCGTTTTCACCTCTGAAAGAAAATATTCAAGAAGCAACAATAAAATTTTGTTTTCTTTTCGCATGTGAAGTGTGAATATATATATATATATATATATATAGTATTTTACCTGGTTATATTCGGACGATCTTGAACTAATGTCGTGGAAATCGATGCACCGTTTGTGATATAATAATTTCCGCATTTCTTCCGATGTCTCAAGGTAACGAAATCTCGTGCCGTAATAATTCCACGAGGACCATATGGACTTGTTGTTTGATAAACGATGTCCGTGTTCTCGTCGATATTCTGTTAATATATGATAGTAATGTTAATGGATATCTCAGTATCAGAATGAGAAAAAGAAGAAACGTGCAAAGAGTTTACTTGTAGTTTTATCGATTCCGTCACGAGTTTGTTCCACGAAGGAAATTCTTCGATAGTATCGAATAACCAGTCGATCAGCATGTCCGCATGTGCGTTGATGTAGCCCTAAAAATAACAAATAAGACACTTTTGTTTTATAAAACAAAAAAATTTTCTTGTCATCGAAATATATTTCCTTTTCATCTTGATTATATTCCGAATTAAAGCACGTGTAACTTACCGTAATTTTTATAACCTTTCCTTCTTGTTTCCATTCTGACGGCAACTGCATGTAAGATATCTCATCGCCATCCGGCGTTACAGTTTCAATCTTCCATTCCTGTGACATTAACAAACTATAACAATTCTCCAACGATTTTGACGCCATTGTCTTATACTCATTGATCTGAAAAAAAAAAAAAAATTATAAGTTCGCCGTTATAGCTAGTTTGTTTAATCTAATTAATGTAATAGCGCGAAGATAAAATTTCATCAACCTTATCTGACGTAAGTTTTCCTACAGACATAAATAATTCGCTAGATTTCGAAAGTCTCCTCGAACTTCCTTGTCTTCTCGAGTCTTCGTCATCAGAATGATCTGGAGAATCTACAGGCGTGAAAAATGTATTCATGTGATCTATATTGGCCGTATGCTGCCGCGATTCCGTAATAACATTTTGCAATAGCGGAGCTCTTTCCGCGTCCGAAAAACCTGCAATTTTTATAATTTTCTTACAGACATATTAATAAAATAAAATAAAAAAAAAAAGAAACGTTCAAGTACTACAAGAGATTTACTTTGAATCCAATTTCTTGCTTGAGTTTCTTGAGGCATCACGCGAAAATCGAAGAACCAAGCTTCTGCCCACGCTAGCACAAAAGAAATCAAGATCAGAAGAACTTGAAATACTGGTTGATTAGCTGATGTCCACTGAGAAAAACAAACACAAATATGTTTCATTACACAACTACACAACCAAGCTGGTAATAACAAAGAGAATATATATATAGATGTTTCAAAAGAGCTTACATCGAAGAGAAAAACTTTGGCAATTAAAAAGGCACATGTTGTAGCAGTTGATATCTGTAAAGTACAAATAGGTTTTGTATATCGCATAAACATATTTCTTCGAAAAATAATATTACGCACTCAAATCCTCAAATTCGAATTGATAAAATATATACTTACTGCTACAATAATCCAGTGATTGATATACAACAGCGCGTAGAAGAGCAACAAGACCGTAAACCTGCAAATCGCTGCCATCTGAGAAGATGAAATCCATAAAATCTCTGCTCCCAATGAATAATGAAAAATAATGACGCATTGTCGTCATTTTGTTATTAAAATCACGGTGAACAAAACGAAAGTTTATTACTTACCACGATGTCAAACAACGACGTCTTTATGTGATAGTGTATCACCTGATCCTCAAAAGCTGTGTTTAAACTTTCACCTGCGATCTGTGTGAATATAAATATAATAAAATAGTGAATATATGAGAACCTATATAAAAAAAAACCTATATAAAAAATTCTTTAATTCTCAATTATTTAGTTTTAACAAAATAAAATTTTTCGATACGCGCGTTAAACATTTTGGACGACGTACCATTGTACAAATGAGCCACATGAGGAATGTAAGTAGAAGATCAAAAGTAACGAAGAGGCAGAAGAAACGCCTAACGTTCGACATCCTGCCGTTCTGTCTAGCTCCTGCAATTAGATCTTCGGTGATGACAAATTCCGGAGTACGTGTCATGCTATGCTGTGTAATCGAACTCCTCTGGGAGTTGATTGAGCCGCTTAATATAGTCTCCGCTGCTATTCTAATTTGTCTCTCATCTTCTGTCATTTTTCTGATATGTTTTTGATGTCGTCGCCGTAACGTCGACCTGTATACGTACATAATCTTATCAGATAGAAATCGACATTTGTATTCCACACACTTTTGTTCAATATAACAAATTCTTTTGCAATTAAAAAATAATTTATAAATGATTTATAAAAAAAACGATTTATAAATGATTTATAAAATAGAACACAAAGGGTTTTATAAAACAGCTAACAACATACATGCAACGAATAATAATGGAGAAAATTAATAAAAAGTTAAAATAAATATTTTTTTACATATTTTACATACAAAACGTTGTTTGTTTTCTTTTGTGTATATAAAATTATTGCCATCCGTGTTTACGATGATTCATTGTTTGATGAAATTTTACGTTTCATCATCACAAATTCTATTATCTCAATTAAATATTTACGTGTGTGCAAGAAATACGAAAAATAATCGATCAATTTTTACATTGATACGAAATAAACAATGAAATCGATAAGTGGTCGTTTCCTTAAAACCAATTGTACGTACACAACGGTCTTACCTATGTGAACAATTTCTTAAATAAAAAAAAATCAATTATTTAATAATGCAACAGCTGATTGAAATAGAAAGCATTGCTATCGATAAAACGATATTTTATTTCCGCTCTGTAATATTGCGCGAGTAGATCTATTGTTGTACGATATATATCTGATATATATTGACACACACAGAACTCATACGAGATTATTATCAATAATCTTTTATTTGTGTTTTAAACATCAAATCTTATAACCTTAAAAGTTTAACGCACTCGCCTGTTTCGCCGTGCAACACGAATAGCTGAATTTGAATATTGAGGTAACGGATTTTATGCATTTTTATCAGAGAATGCGAGATATGCATATTTGCAGATGTGAGTCAAGAACGCAAAGATAAAAAAAAAAAAAGCCACCGCTGTACATTCTAGCCTGTCAATTTACGCTTGGTCTCGTTTTGCCGATCAATCTTTACCTCTTTCGCAGCTGGAACCGTTCATAGATGCACAGCCGAGTTGACTAACAGACCGTTATCACGCACGTGTGCTGCATTACTGCAATTTGAGATATGAAAATACCTCAATTACCGTATACTATTGTGTATTGCTGAACATAAACAAGGACTGACGTTTCTTGACGTCCATAACGTGTATATCTCATCTATGTGTATCATCCGACGGTATTACGACGGATTCAATTCTTTGCTAAAATTACTGTGTACGAAGATTTTAGTCAAATTTTTTATTTAACTATTTTACATTAGAAACATTTTACATTAGAAAAAATATGTTTGAATTTACACACGTGGCGTTTCTCTAAAAAGTAAGAAAAATAAAAGAATGTCATAAGACCTTTATTTCATGCATTTTGTGTCTATATACTTATTTATAATTAAAGTACTTTAAAGAAATATATGGGTAATTCTCAAAAAACGTAATCTCCGTGGTATATTGACATAAAAAACATAGATAAGTTTTTTATATTGCATAGTCACGTATATTAGGAATGGTGACTTAAAATGGTATGAAAAAACATAATTCACCGCTATCCGTTAGTTAATAATAATTATTTTTTATCAAAACTGAAAGTTGAAATTTACGCGTTCACAGAGAATCACCCATATATGCGTAAATACACTGGCGTCGGTCTAATTACACTTATTTTTACAAAGAACAAGCATATCAATGTACAAAAAAAAATCTGTAATATTGAAATTGCAGTATATTAGCTTCTCATTAAAAAGAAAACAAAATATTTGGTTTTTCTGCACATACGTGCACTCTTACTTGTTAATAAGAGAAATATATACATGTATGCAACTAGTGCGAGTTCGATATACATAGCTTTGAAAAAAAGACACAAAATTATGATACTAAAGGTTTCTTGCAATTTACACTTTGCAGGCGGGAGACTGATCAGTTTTGCAGAACGGCACCCCCCTACAAAGTGTTAAGTGAAGAACGTGTAAACTATAAACTTATTTATATAACTTTTACATTAAAAAATATATATACATATACACTTTTTAATGCCCCGGATATAAAATATATGACTGTCCTTGCTAACAACTATACTTATTCTAAATATTTAACCATGCATATAAAAAAAAAATACGTATTTTTTTATATAAAATACGGGAATGAAAATAATGATACATCATCTGATGATCATTACATATCAATTGAAGTCAAAATTGTCAAAATTGTTCTCTAATTCGTGAAAAAAAAAAATTCAATCGGGAAGAACGAGAGTTCGCAAAGAGTCTTCGGGAAGAACGAGAGTTCGCAAAGAGTCTTCGGGAAAACTCTCGATTTCCGCGATGGTGCCGTAGTTAAAAGGAACCGCTATTCCTCCATCGAGAACCAAAGCTGCGTCGATACACTGCGATCTCACTGTGATCTTTTTACAAAATCCACGAGGATTTAAATATTTTGGAACGGGCATTGTGTCGGTTACTATCAAATCCCTGATGGAATAGCACAATTTGGAATCCTCTGTAAATAAAATATCACATGTTACATATCAATATGTATATCTTTCTTTAGTATCTAATATATATAAGTAAATTTATAAGTTAATACACTGACCGGGATCAAAGCGCAAGCTGCTATTAAAAGTCAAGCTGATCTCTTCAATTTCATCGGCAGTGAACTGTCGTTTGTTATCTACAAGACTCAATATCTCTCGTATGGTTTGTTGACTCAAACTATTTATAGATTTGCACCACGACGTTGATCCTGTCCCAGTGCTCACGCACAAACCAGAACCTTTTACTTTTTGATAATCTTGCTCCTCATCCACTTTCATTAGCAAGGAACTCGTTCGTGCCGATAATGTTTCGCCCATGAAAACCTATTAACAAACATCAGGTCTATGATACGTATAAAAGTGCAATTTGCAGTATTCGATCTTTGACATATATGTATTTACGAAGGAATACTAGTGAACTCACTTCATTAAGTGCCAACCACGGTAAACGTCTTTCTTTGGGCAACTCGTTACGCTTGGAATCTTGAAAGCAGTCGCTCATGTAAAATCTATATATAAATCAATAAAAACAATAAATAATAAAAACGATGGTGTGATTAAATTTTATATAACTCACTCGTATCTCTCTCTTTTTACAAATTGTCGAAATTAAAAGCAGTCTGAAAAATGTTGGCTTAATTTAATTATAACAATATACATGGTAATACCTTTCACCACCAGCGATACGTGCTTTTTCATGCATATGAAAAGAAGGTTCCCATATTTCTTCTCCTCTTAAAGTGATGCGAATTCTTCTTCTCATAAGTACATTGTAATGTCCTGCTCTTAACATTTCAAAAATTTCTGGTATGTTCTTTGTATATCTTGCCGACAATAAAAGATAGCCTTCTGATTTTATCGGATAAGAATTAATGCCCATTATAGGTTTTTTACTATCAAATATCAAGTTTGAAGCCAAGAGAAATGTTCCATCACCACCAATCGGTAAAACCAAATCAGCCCATGTAAAAAGTGACTGGTCCAAAGTTGACCTAAAAAAATTACAATATTTTACTATGTAAATTAAAAAATAAGTATTTCTCTTTATGAAAAAAAGTTTTTTTTTATCTTTAATTATATAAAAGATTTTCTCAACTTTATTACAAATCTGATAATGAGAGAAAGTTTTTTTTCTATTTGTCATGTATTTTTTTAAAAGTTTGAACTTACCTATCTATTACTCTATATTCCAGATTCATATTTTTTAAGATCTGAATTACTTCTTTTTCCACTTCTTTAGTAGCTACGTGACTAGCAAGCATAGATTCATAATCAGAGCCTCTTTCCAGCAGTTTTATTTTCAGCTGGGCTTCATCAAGCTTGGGTTCCCGTAATCTTTCAAACTGGTATCGTGACAACTTTGCCACAATAAGTACTTTTTTGGGAATGAAACTAGATTCATTTCGAAAGAAAATGCGAAGATTTTCCTGTGTAGATTTAAGCCGCAGAAGCTGCACTTTTCCTGCAAAAAAAATCATATAAAACAAAATTATACAAAATATGTTACAATTTTTTACTTTATATACTTAATTCAAAAATAATGTTAATAAAGAGAAAATTCTTCTATCATATACAATATATGCAAAAACAAAGCATTTTCTTAAAAGATACATGATAAGATGATTTTTTCTTTATCTTGCCTTTGACCTGATCCATATCTATTAATGATAGTTGCTTAATCACATGATAACAGTTGTAAGTATTGTGTAAGACATAATGGAAAAGTTTTACTTTTATTTTTTCTTTCTTCCCATTGTTTTACAATTTAAAAAATTACAAATATTCTGATATATTTATATCTTATATTGGTATATAATTATACGTTTAATTATATATATGTTTACACATCCATATGTTAAATATTTACATTACGATAACATTATAATAACTTATATTCATGTAGAAATATAACTGACTTTTTTTCTGCATTGTTTGTGACTTTGAAATTGTCCCTTAGATCTTCTAACATAATACAAGTGTCTACATGTTTTGAGATTTATGCATTTAACCATACAGTATTTATATGCAGTATTTTCAGTTATTTGAAATATAGGTAGTGTCATACATCATCTCTCGCTGCTGATTTGTTTTCTAAAAGGTTATGTATATAACCTTTTGTCGATATTATCAAGACATGAGTGTGCAAATTTGTTCTATTGTATGTATGACAATTAAGTGTGACAATGGATCTATAAAGATTCTTCAAAAATTGCACACTCTTCTTTATGATTTGTAAATTTAAAATATAAGTGTGTGTATGTGTGTGTAAATATATTCAAAAATATATATTTATTTAAAATGTACACCATCAGACAAACATTTAAAAAATATGATTTGCAAAGATCTACTTTAAACACATCAAAACAAAGATCTACTTTAAACACATATGTACATATGTTTAAAGTAGATCTTGCACAATTGTTAGGCTTCTTCCGCTTAGTGTAAAAAAAGTCAATTACTTAACTTATTTACTTAAGAAGATAAAAAAATACATGTGTGTGATATACACAGTATCTCGAATTTCCAAACTAATATAAATTTACACATATCAGAATAGGATTGCAACATTGCAGAAATTTAAAAATCGATTTGACAAAAATTTAAAAGCTGATGTATTTTGCTTTTTCTTTTCCTGTTGCATATATATTTAAAAGTTTTTCTTTTTTTTTTAAGTCTATTATTTACACACACATGCGCGTAATAGAATTATCATTATTATACTTACTTGCAGACTTGTAGAGATAGCCGAAAGTCGTCATCGCATGATTGATCGAGAGGTATGTTCATCAACGCAATATTGAATTATTACAAGCGACGAAATGCTATTCCGAAACTTTTACAGATAATTAAACCAATAGCGTTTTACTTCCTCCTTGCCGGTACGAACTACGTAGGCGATAACGCACCTTATCACGCGCTCTTGGTTTGGTTTGGTTTGGTGCATATATGGCTCAAAGGACCGTTTCAAGCTAGTCCATACGCCATTCTAAGTCTTTAGGAATCGTGACACAGGTTCTAAACCGTGGTTTGGGTACAAGCCACGGAGTTGTACGTTCGTTAAAAATACTGATAAACTGAAGAAATCGGTGTAAAAACACCGAAGATTGTCCAAAAATATCTAAGCGTAACTACGCACATCTAACCGGTACGGCTAAACACGCGCTCTTGGGTTAACACGCACGTGAACTGCAGCGATTTGGTTTGATGCAAAAATGGCTCAGCGGACCGAATTAAGTTAGTCCATACGCCATTCTAGGAGCGAACTGCAGTGAACAGTCATTGAACAATATATATATCCAAAGAGAAGAGCGGCCAGGGCCAGGGCCATTTAAAAAACTATTGTCTCTTCAATGAAAGGTCTGCGCATAGGGGTGGAATAGTGGGCAGAGTGGGGGGGAGAGCGTTGCCCACTAAAGCCCCTTGCACAATGGACGGAATAGCGATAGCGATATAAATAATAGTTGTAAAGAGTTTATATTTATAAATAACGGTAGGAACAGCGGAATCTAACATACAAAAATACACATGTATCAATGCAGATCAGAAAATCAGAATAAGCAATAGCGATAAAATTTCCGACGAGTTGGAATTCTGTGTTATTTCTATCGCTATCGCTATTCCTTCCATTGTGCAAGGGGCTTAACGACCTGTGCACGAACAGTACAGCGCTGTTGGAGGAGTGGGGAGCTTTTTTCGCGTCCCGTCGGAGGGGCGATGCGCAGAACGGACGACGAATAAAATTTGCGTCGGTTCGCGAACCTTTCTCTCATTGAAAAAATGTAAGAACAATGCAATAGCTTTTCCGACCTGGTAAGTTAACGCCACGTCTATGGGTGGTGCGCATGAGCAACTACAGTCCATGTCCACGAGCGACTTGTCGGTGCGTGCGCTATGTGGACACGGTTCTGTTCCGCGCTAATATCCACAACGTACAATTCTGGGATCTCGATTCTTGAACAATTTGCGCGATGCGAAATTCTATAATACATGTGACATCAACAGTGGAGTTTCGTGTGCGAAAGTTTTTCAAGAAAAACGATCGTAAAAACTCTTAAGCTCCTTGCACAATGGACAGAATAGCGATAGCGATAGAAATAATAGGAACAGCGGAATCTAACATACAAAAATACACATGTATCAATGCAGATCAGAAAATCAGAATAAGCAATAGCGATAAAATTTCCAACGAGTTGGAATTCTGTGTTAAAAACTGTGTTATTTCTATCGCTATCGCTATTCCTTCCATTGTGCAAGGGGCTTTATAGACCTATGACTGTTCTTATTCTTCTCTCTGTTTTATCCGACGAATAGAGAATTTCGAAACGAAAATGCACATTAGCGGCAAATTTGAATTTCGACACGCGTCTCAGAGCCACGGGAAAACATAGAAAGTACGCTGTTTTTTATATATAAAATTTAAATCAAAACGCTTGTGGCAACTAAATAAATTACTGCAAACGTTACCGCAAAAAGTATCACAAAAGTGTTTTAAGATTTCAACGAATGCTTTTTCGAAATTTTCGAAAATATCGAGCGTGTTTTGTTTGCTTACTGAGATTGGGAGATTTCAGAATTTGATTATATGTAGTTGCCGAAAAATAAAGATTGCACTATACAGATACACTCTTCGCTTACACTTTATTAATTCATTTGCAATACATTAATTAAGTCTGTTTAAATAGCATCGAGGCTACCTAAAGTACGCCTTCGTATATACTATAGACAATCATCTAGGTTTTTAAAATCTTTCTCTCGTTCTCTCTCATTCGCACGCACGCATTCTTCTTTCATTTTTGCCTTTCTTTCTTTTTTTTTCTTTCACTCTCGTGTGCTCTCTCTCTCTCTCTCTCTTTCTCTCTATCGCGTTCTCTCTTTCCACGCACTTTCTTCGTTTTTTTTTTATTTTTTTTTATTTTTTTTTAATCTTTATTCGCTCCGTTAATCGATATCAGTTTATTATTACTATATTTTACCGTCTCTCATTATATCTCATTACATCATATATTTATACTATATATATATATATCGTATAAGATCGACGTTTAAAAACTAAAATTCGTATAAAAAGCGTCGTTATTCGTACTAAGAATGTAACTGTACTATTTAAATAATAATTGAATTTTAAAAAATTATTATTTGTTCTTGTTGTTGTGTTCGGTTTGTCGTTTGAATGTATGAGATATCTAAACGCGTCGGCTACTGTATGACCGAGGTGCGGAGGCGCGTTTGTGCTCCAAACAGCACACACGTGCGTGTGTTGTCTCTCTTTCTCTTTCTCTCTCTCTCTCTCTCTCTCTTTCTCTTTCTCTCTGTCTCCGAGAACAATCGGTAAGATCAACCAAAATGCCCTATAAATCTGCGCTATTTTTACATCGGTACACGCAAAGTGTGTTTCGCAGTCGGTTGTCGTATTCTTGTTGCACGAAAGTTAACGGAGATTACGTTCTGCGTAGCGTAAAGAAAGAACTCAAAAAATATTATAACACGGTAATTAAAAAAGAATCTGTTACACACACACGCACACGTTAAAAATTAAAACCAAGAAAAAGAAACGGATCACGACTGCACTGACAAGTAATGTACTGAATAAAACAGCGATTAACATCAACAGAAATATGTCACACATCATAATACATATCGCACATAGGCAATGGCTAAAAAAAAAAAAAAAAAAAAAAAATTTATTTATTCTTATAAAAAATTATATTAATTATATCTCGTCTTTTAGATTCTTTCGCAAGACCGATCGCAACATCAACAAAAAAGAAAATGCTATTTATAGGCAAAAAAAATCAAAAGTGTTTGCGGAGAGAATTAGAAATATTCAAAAAGTACACGGTCGTCGCGCAGTCTCGTCGGCGATTTTACCGGTTGTTCTTTCCTAAATTACGACGTCGCGATATGACATCGAATTGTGTATCATCAAGTCGCACCCCTGAACGATATTAAATTATCTTTTCCCTCTCCCTCTCTCACCCTTCGTATATAATCTCGTTCTCATTCGCGCTCTCTCTCTCTGGTATTTATTACCCTAATACTTTTACACGCTACAAATGTTTTTTTTTTTTCTTATTTCTTTAAATCGTAACCATTTAGCACGTCACACTACGGCTGATGATTTCCCTCTCCCCTCAAAATTGTCTCGGTATTTATTAACTATTCGCTATTACGAGCAATAATGTACATCAATTACATACAAAACAAGATACATTGTTTTAAAATGTTCTCGTTATTTAATTATCGACATTGTGTCTTACGTAAGATGGTCACGCTTACAAATATTACCACGACTGACTATAATCGAAGAAACTCACTACCAAATCCGACACTTAATCGTTTGTTCAGCGCAACACACTCTTTTTCTTTTCTCTCTTTCTCGTTTTTATTCCTTACGCGCGACGACGATATATATATCTCTCGTTTATTAAACTCTGTAAACGATTAATGTCAATCAATCGTCACTCCGGACAAAAAGAACCCCGCGACGAACGGGGAAGGAATCAGTGCGAGATTCCGTTTTATCAAACAATGGCGCGATTGAAAAATTGCAATATAAATTCTTACGATAATAATACTACGCACCGCATGAGACCAGTAAAAACGCATTGGATTTTCAACCAAAGACAATCGCGTGCGCTCTACTCTTAAATAAAAATTTGTTTTAAAAGTTTTTAAAGTAAAAAAAGAAAAAAAAGAAAAAAAAAACAAGAAAAGCGCGCGCGCTACATTTTTTTTTTGTTATTGCGTCCTTTTCATTTCTCGGAAGCGCTAACAGTAATTTCTCCAGCAATGTGTTATCTCTCTGACTTGTTTCTTTTCTGTTTTTGTTTAATTTTGTTATGATGCATGTGTGTTGAATCGAAACCTTTTAGCAAACTGGTTTTTCTCTTTTTTCTCTTTTTTTTTTAGTTTAACAGAAAGTCAAAACATATAACTTGCGCGAGTAATAATACTTTTCTCATCGAATTATTTAATAAAACACACACATTTCGCAAATATATTATATTATTAATAACCTATATATTGTAAGTCGTAACCTGTAAGTCGATAATCCTATAGGAAAAATGCAAGTTTTACATATTTCTCTCTAACGGCAGTGTATGATATTCAATTTGCACACGCAACATATGCATGGATTTAGAATATTTGTTCTGATGATATTTAAGCTGAGATGCGTGGGAGAAGTTTTCACTTTTCTCGCGAGCGATAAAATGACATTTTCGTGATAATATTATTGTTACACACACACAAAGTACGCAAGATCTCTGACACGTATTTCATTATATAATAATAAATAATCTTGAGATTAAAAAAAATCAATTATTCAAAAAAATAATTACGCTTGTATGTTAATTCGAAAATTAAATGTTAACAGAGCGAAACAAAAAACTGGACGTACATCTTGTACATGAATCAAATTTAAATAATTACATATGTTGCTTATAATTGTACATATTATACGTATATAACTTTTTGTCAAACTTTTAATGTGTGCGAGACTATTCTTTTTTTGTCACAATACAAGCTTTATTTTGCGTACTTCATGTGCCTGTGTTTATATTTCGTAGTGAATTAACAAAAGTTTGATAATCTGAATCAAAACCATAGACTAAAAGCAAATAACTCAAATTATGTTTTTTTTTTTTTTTTTTAAATTCAAAAACTTCACAACAATGTTGCTTCACTGTTTAATCTATTTCCTACAGCGAATAACATTCTTATCGTGCTCATCCGTGGGCAAAGGGGTGTACATATGTGAGTGTATGGTTGCGTGACGTGTACGATATATGTATATATATAATTTTTTTTCTGTATACATATACACTATATTCATATTTTTTTCCATTTTTATATTATTTATATTTCTATTTTTATATATATATATATATCCTCTTTCTCTCACCCTCTCCTCTTTTTTTTTCACATTTATTATCTTGCAAAATATTTCTTTTGCCAATGACGCGCCGACATTAAAGCCTGGTATAATACAATCGCAAATTACAGTTTTACTCGCTTAGGCAAATGTTCACTTGTGTTTTTTTTTTTTTTTTTTATCGGTAAGTACAATAACCGTTTCGCATTGCTCCACTCCTATATATCAACGGAGATCGAAAGAATTGTTGTGTTCTGTATCGAAGAATTAAGACAGATTTATCACGTCAAACGTCGAGAAAAACTCTCCGTCACCGCACACACATCTTGTGATCGCAAAAGTTTCTCGTTTATTTTTTATTAAGATTTCGTTAAAGCGAAAGAAAAAGAGCCGAATATTCCGCGATCGGCTCTGCCAAACTTGTGTTCTCTTAACTCTCACACACACACATACTCTCTCTCTCTCTCTCTCTCTCTCTCTCGATATAATACTTTACAACACTGAGTAAATTTAACGGGACCGCGACGTAAGTGCTAAATAGAGCGATAAAGTACGAGACACTCGTTTTTTTTTCTTTTTTTTGTTTTTTTTTCTTTTTTACACGGTGTACCACAGTGGGTAATCGGAGCATCTTTTATGAAGCGCGCATGAGAGAACGCACACTCTCTCGCGTGCGAGATTAGGACGAGAATGAATGATACGATGAGCGAGTGTACTCGCGTTCGCAGCAGTTATTATTATTATTTATTATTATTATTTATTATTATTATTATTATTATTATTAATATTATTATTATTATTATTACAATGGAAAGTTCGATCGGCCGCTATAACGAGGCCAACTGTTTAATGCTCGGAAGTGAATTGGGGGAGTAATGAGTAGATCAGTTCCTTTCGACGAGACTGCCGGATTCATAGCGGATCGGTGCGTTATTCTAATAGTAGAAGTGGGCAAAACTGTTGCAGGTGTTGCGCGAACGTACCGAACCTCAGCTATGCGTTTGCGGATGCGGAGGCGGCGTGCCGGTGATCTCGGTCCAGCGCATTTCGAAGAAACTGCGCATCCCATGGCCGGCCTTGCCCACAGGACTGTCGTCCTCGTTGAATACCTCGCAGTTGATGAACATCTGCCTGACATCGGCGCAAAACTCATCGCGAGACTTGTACCTGCATCGAGAAGCACTCGTTGTGAAAAACTTCAGCCTTCCGACCAAGATCGACGATCGGTTAGGAGCTTTTTTTTTATTTTTTTATTTTTTTGCGATCGATCTGTGTTAGGTCTACTAGGTCTGTCTTAAAAGACCAGGAGGTTTTGAGAGGAAAGACAGTTAAAGAGTAGTACGTTCATTTAACTAATCGCTGGCGCGTGGTTAAGCAACTTACGCGGACTCCTGCAACTTCTTCTTAATCGTACTGAGATCCATGGGGGTTTTTATGATTTTCTTGTAGGTCGGGAACTGTTTGGTGTTCACCGGTAGAAGGAACGGCCAGGCCTCATCCTGCTGCTCCAACTGTTCGAGAAGTATCTTACAAGGTGCCAGCTCTCGTTGTTGCTTCTTCGTGAGCGTCCGATTGTTACCCTCCTTCCGTGGCGAGGCGGTAGGAGTTGGCGGTTCCGACGAACTGACGTCCTCTACGTGCGTGTTCGATGCCGTTGATGGCGTTGGACTGCGGCGCAAAACAACAGAGAAATTATTTGCACGATTAGCTTCCGTTCTGCAGGAGGTTTCCCGTGATAAAAGCTTCTGGACGAATTGCATTAGATTCAATCGTGTGTCCGGCTGAGACGGGTACGTTGCTCTCGATGGAATATTTGCGTTCTCTCTCTCTGTCTCTTGTTCGTTTTACTTTTTCCGTTTTTCCGCCCTTTTCCGTTCTCTCGTATTTTTCCGACTCGTCATACACAAGCTGAAGGCAGCTCTACTCTTATGACTTTTTTTTCTGAGACAATACCCATCCCACAGTCGGCGATCGCAAGTACACTAGGCAATTACGATGTAGTGTAAATATATACAGGATGTCCCGACGCGAAGAAACTACGACAAGCCCTAAACTTGAGCCTACAGTGTTACAGGGAAATATAATAACCGAAATCCGTTGTGCATTTTTAAACAAAAGTTCTCTCTCAACGACGTTCGCCTCCAAAACAAAATAAACATAAATAAAATTAAGTTTTTTTAATGATAAATAGCTTCTCATAGAACATCCTGTATGAAAGAGAAAGCTTTTTCGAGACAACAAGACTTCTCGGCGATATTGCGACACGAGGATTAAGCCAGTAAGTAATTCGCATATATAAGTACATTGTATACAAATAGTTCGTTAAAATCGTTTTTACTTATTTTATTCATTATTAACTATATATTTAATTGGGAATAATACTTGTTCGTCATTTGCAGTTCGTTGGCTATTATATCAATCTATAATATCTCAACATGTGACTTTCGTTTCTAATTTACTTCGCATAAAACACGTCATTTAAGTCAGCGACTTGACAATGTTTGTTTGTTTGTTTGTTTGTTTTTTTTTTTTTTTGTTTTTGTTTTTTATCGTAATCACCTAGCTGGTGGATGATCAGAACTTTCACTTTCTCTGGTGCCTCCTCCTTTGGTATGACTCCTTCGACTACTATTTCTCTTCTTTGGTTGTTTACTGTGACAATTAGAGCAGTACCATTTTCCTCGTGGAATCTGCGTAACAAATATGCATATAATGAAGTGTATCATTTTAAATGAGACGCGCATGTTCGAATTTTTGATGATGAATAAAACGTAAACAAGAACGTGAGAAATTTATTTTCACACTCACTTTTGGCATGACAGGATTATGGCAGTCGGTGTGATAAGCCCGAGGACAAAGTTCGCACAGGACCAGGTTTTTGCCGGCTCTCTTTCCACATACTAAACAATTACGCTCACCCGTTGCTTTGTTCATACACTCGTGACAATACCTGCAACAGCGCGGGAGTGTTCGAAAAACTTATTAAAAAATTCAAATCCATGACAAAATTAGCCGATAAGAACACGATGTGCGAAACCGCTACTCACCAGTCACCATCAGGAATGTTTTCCATTTTTGGACGGAAACAATAAGTATGGTAGCCACGGTCACAGCCATCACAGAGCAGCAGCTTATCTTCGTTGTCTCCACTATGACAAAACTGGCAATTCTGTAAAAATTAAAATAAAAGCTCTTCATGTAAAAAGATCTGAAAAGTTGCCCCGTTACGTGATTGCGGTAACGTAAATAACAGCACTGTTCCGTTCAAGCGCTTTTGAATAAAAAGCAACAGACATCTATATAGATAAACTTCTTTTTTCTTCTTTTGTACACGTATCCAAATACTAAAATGCAAAATAACATGAAAAATAACGCATGAAGACAATCATAGCTCGTATATCAGTTTTAATTCATGTTTAGTAACGTATGCAAAAAAATTATACGTGCAAAAAATTAAATTTTTAATTCTTGTTATGATTATTACAAAATATAAATATGCTGTGTAATAAATATACGATATATAAGCACAACAATTTCGATTATACCATGTATACAGATATGAGAAAAAAAGCTACAAAAATAAAATTCTATATTTGTAAGAGTATTTTTTTTTTTTTTTTTTTTTTT